GTAGCAGCAGCATCAGCAGCAGGAGGTGGTAGTCGTCGTCGTAGTCGAAGGAGATCATGACTCGTTTGCAATTTTCCACAGGCTTGCCTTAGCTCCACGCTTGTCTTCCAGGCCACTGGGAGGGATTGCGCCTTCAATTCTAGGGCCGCGGGGCTCCCTAAACCCCACATCCCAAAAGCCGCAAGGTGAGATATCCCCATACTGTATGGGTTCAGGGTCTAGGGGTTCAGGGTTATAGCAACCGAAGCTGTATGAGAATAGTGGTCTTCGAAAAGATGGCAGTTGCCGACCCTACACCAGATCTGAGAATTATGTCGTAGATATGGGGGTTACGAAATTAGGGGACCCCCAATATGACACATAGTAGGATCCCCTTGTAAGAAGGACCCCAATAAGGTACCCCCTAATATCGAAAGCCCCCCTCTGTCTCAGGATGGACACGCTGAAAGTTCCGCGTTCTGCGAACACATCCAGTCTAAATGGAAGAAGTCTTTGTCAACCCCCCCCCCCCCATATTTCGCCAAGATCTCATCTATGATATTCGACACATCTTTGCAAGTTCTTGTGGGATGTGGATTTCTCATTTCGTTTTTGTATTCCTCTTTAGATAAGTAGGCGACTCTGGCGTTCAATCACTTCCCATGAGCATCACTCACTAAGAATCACTCGAGTGTCCTCTTTCATCCGCGATGAGGTTTGTGTTGGTGCTGCTAAACCCGACCCGCAGTACCCGCGCAGGGCATGTGTGTTTGGATTGTAAGAACGGATCGTGGTTGAGGTTGTGGGTGGCTGCTTTGAATGTTGTGCTTGTAGGCTGCTCACCGAGAGTTGCGGTGCAGGATCTGGGGTGTGGTGTCAACAGCTTCTCGTTGTATTAAAAATGGGCCGCCGTGTCCGAGAAGGGTGTAGGGTCTCTTCATGCTTGGGTGGTTCAGGGGACTAAAGGAGGGATCCTTTATCCCCCTTCAAACCCTAAACTAAACCCTAAACCCTAAACCCTAAACCCTGAACCCTGAACCCTAAACCCTAAACCCTAAACCCTTGAGGGTTTTGGGTTGCAGAATCAGAAAGTTTCGTGACTCATGGCTCACGGACGGCAGCTCGACTCTGGCAGGACCCGTCGTCGAAGTTGGCCCACTTCCTCGGCTGTGAGGCCTAGGGTTTAGGGTTTGGGGGTTTAGGGTTTGGGGGTTTAGGGTTTAGGGTTTAGGGGTTAGGGGTTAGGGGTTTAATTAGGGTTAAGAGCCATAAGAAAAACCACGATTATTTCACTAGATTGTTGCCCGGAAGTCTGGAACCCTAAATTACCCCGAGCCCTACGCCTACGTTTGAGAAGGCTCCGCTTCACTGATGGGATTTGACCAGAGATGCCACTATCCCTTTAGCTCAGGAATACTCCTCACATAGCAGTAGGGATCCTGATGATCTACTGAATAGACCTTACACCCGAAACCCTGAACCCAAAACCCTAAAACCTTCATTGAGGGAAATTGCAACCTCTGGAATTTACGGAATAGACCTTAAACCCGAAACCCGAAACCCAAAACCCTAACACCTTCATTAAGGGACAAATCGGTGGAGGTTGACCAGCTGCGGAGCCAGTCCTTCGACGATTTTCTCGCGGCGAGGGATCGCGAGAAGTTTCGATCGCTGCTGGCCCGCCTTAACTTCTGAGAGTCGTCTCATGGGCCCTTAACATGGTCGGCGCCCTTTTAAGGGCCCAATACTAAGGGACCGTGTAACTACCCTTAGACAACTTGGGCTATCATGCTTTGAGCAGAAGGTTTTTTGAAGTGGGGGGGGGGGGATTTGAAAAATATACCCTAGACCCCGCACCCTAAACCCTAAACCCTAAACCCTAAGGGGGAGATGTACTCAGTCAGAACTTTGTGGGCATCAAGGATCAAAGTCTGTCCAGAGGCGTAATCACGAAGGGAGGCTCAGCCTGAGGCAAGGATCCCAAGAAGTCCTTTCAAAGGCCCAGCCGCCAAAGTAAGTATGACTTAAGGGTTTAGGGTTTAGGGTTTAGGGTTTAGGGTTTAGGGTTTAGGGTTTAGGGTTTAGGGTTTAGGGTTTAGGGTTTAGGGTTTAGGCATGGCAGGGTTGGAAGGCCTGGGCCCTTGGAGCTTGGTATGGGTTTTGAAACACCCCCCCCCCCCCAATCCCAGCTTAGGCTCATCCAATCCACCGCACATTCTTTGGAGCTCGGAAAGCCGCAGCAGAATCACGCCCTGGCGGCAACGATGTCACTGAGCGTGGGGCACAGGTGAGAGAACTTTTGGGTTCTAGGGTTATAGGGTGATAGGGTCAGAGGGTTAAGTTAATGCTTGATCGCCATGCGCATTGAACCTCGTGGCAACGCGCACAACATCCCCTAGCTTAAGTCTGTGGCCCCAGTTCCGAACCTCAAGTATACTGCAGTATGGGTCGTGTAGATCAGTGGCATGTAGGAGTTCAGTAAGATGGCAAGCATCCAAGACAGATTGAAGCCATTCCACAGCCCCTGAAGGCAAATTGAAGTGAACCTGCGGCTGTGCAGCGTGCCAGCGTACCAAAGCAACGACCGCTTCTTCCTGATAGCACTGAACCTCATACGTGACGAGGGCCTTGACGCCGAGAGTATGGATCCGGGGGCCATGAGTCCGGGCGATGGCAATGATTCGTCACCTTCGGATACGTCCCCGACGCACTGTGAAGCTGCGGCGTCCTTTGGCGACATGAGCGGTTCGTTGAATAAGCACGTGCAGTTCCACTCCCGGCACAAAGAGACCACCAACGCCTTCAGCTCCGTGTCCGTGACTTTTGACTCGCGAACACTGGAAGTGTCCAACCTGCGGATCTCCCTTAGCATTGGAAGCTGGAAGCAGTCGGACCGCACCTTCTTAAAGAACTGCATCCTAGAGGATGTCTGGCCTGGATTCAGCAGTTGGCTGAAAGGCTGGGGCCAAGCAAAAGTGTCTACCGCGCCGCCGCCCATCGTGCTCTTCAAGTTCCCGCGCCTGCTGCGTATGCGCAGCGTCCTGGCGGCCAGGCGTCCGGAGCATGGCCTTGGCATGTCTGAGCTGTGGCTTGCAATGGCTTGAGCGAGTCCAGGGTTTAGGGTTTAGGGTTTAGGGTTTAGGGTTTAGGGTTTAGGGTTTAGGGTTTAGGGTTTAGGGTTTAGGGTTTAGGGTTTAGGGCTTCGGGTTTAGGGCTTAAGGTTTCAGAAAGGTCCTAGTCAGTTATGCCGCCGCAGTATCAATCTCTACGGTCTGAAGCTTGACTGGCCATGATGGCTTCTCCAAATACTCCAAATACGTGCTGAGCATCCCCCCAAGCCCCAAAAACCCTAAACCCTAAGCTCGGCCAGGGCTCTCCGAGCCACTTAGAGGTTTCCGAACTTTGCTGCACTCGGGATTATTCAGGGAGGGGGACACCCTAAACCCTAAACCCTAAACCCTAAACCCTAAACCCTAAACCCTAAACCCTAAACCCTAAACCCTAAACCCTAAACCCTAAACCCTAAACCCGTACTCTTGGGAAATGCCCACTTCTGCAAAGACCGCCCGCTTGTACGTTGCCCCTGGCAGGCAATCCGACCTTAAGAAGTGCCGGGGTGACGATGGACGACCGACCGGCGAAATTTGCCTGAGACTCCGCCTGCCGTCTGCATAATATGGGTGCCTTTTTCATTAGAGCAGGGTTTTGGGGGTCAGTATAGTTTAATTACAAGGGACCATATTAGTAACTTTTCGACCCCTATATTGGTTGGAATGTACTTTGTTTTGCCAGCTGTGGAATCCAAAGCTATTCTAGAGGAGAACCCATTCTTTGTGCCCGTTGGCCTAGGAGACATTCGTCTCCGCAATGTGCGTGGCAAAGCCAACAAGAGGTCTGAGTCACTGGCAAGCTGCGAGAGTCTTTGTGCAACTGCCGCAGCTCAGTCACCGAAATCAGGACGCGCTGAGCGGGAGCTTTGTTTCCGTCGACCAGATCGGGCAAAGCCTGCGGACTGATGTGATCCCTGAGGGTTTAGGGTTTAGGGTTTAGGGTTTAGGGTTGTTCATCACACCTACTAGGACTGGTAACCGTTTGGGGTTTAGGGCCACGTCTTGGGTCTCCGGTGCCGCGGGGCAGTGTATGGGCTGCAGGAGGGGCATTGTTGGGGATGGACACTGCTGCACCTCTGAGCAATGAATCCACGGTTTAGGGTTTAGGGTTTAGGGTTTAGGGTTTAGGGTGGCGCATCTAAGATGCAGCAGGGCGTCGCAGAGTCTCAACATCCTCCAGAGGAATGCAGCTTCCTGGCAATGAGCTGCCTGCCCTCATTTCAAGGAACAGGCCTGAGAGATGTGATGCCCCATGGCTTCTGTCCGACCCCATGGTCCGGCCAGAAAGAAACCATTCCGGTGTCCACATCTGGAGCTTTGCGTGGGATGAGCCGTCATTCAGTAATCCCTAAGCCCTAAGCCCTAAGCCCTAAACCCTAAACCCTGAACCGTTCGGAACGCTTTTCGGCTCTCGGTCGCCCCAGGGATGCGTCTTTCAGCCAGGAGGGTGGCATCATCCCTTGAGCAAAGTAACCCGAGGGCAGAGGAAACACAACGACACGGTTTTGCAGGGCCGTGTACGCGCTGCTACTGTTTGTTACGATCAGTACTATCATTGCGGTTATTGCTCTTCTTGCTTCTCTTGCTACTTGTGTCAATATCACATGCGGTTCTTACAATCCGGCTCTGAGTTCTTGACTCTTCATCCTCTGTGTCAGTCTCAAACCCCCTTGAGCCCCTAAACTCCAGAACCCCGAAACCCTAAACCCTTGAACCCGAAACCCTAACCCCCCTCCTCCACCGAAACCCGAAACCCTAAACCCTAAAGCCCTACCCCCGCCCCCCAAAACCCCCCCCCAAAAAAAAACCAAGCACAGAACCTGAACCCCCTAAACCCTAAACCCTAAACCCCAAACCCCAAACCCCTAACCCCCCAAAACCCTGAACCCCTCAACACCCCTGAACATCAAGGCTTGGACTGCATGCCCGCACGCCGGCGGGCCCGAGGGCCGGCGCCCGAAGCAGTCTTCACTGAGGGTACCTGAGCCTCGGCCTGGTGTTAAGGTTTTTAGGGTTTAGGGTTTAGAGTTGAGGGTTTAGGGTTTAGGGTTTAGGGCGTTCAAGATTTCAGCAGCTTTGTGGAGCTCTGTACAAACCCAGGTTTTAGGGTTTAGAGCAAGGGTTTAGGGTTTAGGCTCACAAGAAAGAAGGAGTTCGTTTTTAAGGGTCCTATCATTAGGGTTTGAGCTGTGTTTCAACTAGTAGTTTCTTTCATGTGACAACACGTTACTTGACTCTGTCATTCATTGCTCAAGCTGCTCAGGGGAGGTCAAAAGGTTGATGTCCATACGCGTCGTGGGTGCAGCTGCCGTGTCCGGGCTCACTGGACTTGCAGTGCATCAGAGCTGGCGAGCTTGGATTGCACAAAGTGTCGCGAGGGAGGTGGTCAGCTTTGTTGGCCATCAAGTCTTGTCTTCACAGGGAGCTACAGATTTTTTGTGGCAGGGCGCGCGGAAGCTGTTCGTGGTGGGCGGAGTCTTATTATTGTTGGAGTGGATTCCTTTAATCGTACTCTGTCTTCGCCTGGTCGTATATCTATTTCTGAGGGGCTCGTATTGGGTGCTTCGTGGGAGCACTGAACTACTGCATCTCTGGAATTGTATAGGCGAGTGGGTGTTGGAGCAATTTCTCGCGTGGTGGCTGCGCTACAGTCGAACAGACCAGTTTTCCTTAACCTGCGACGTGATGGCAGCCGCAGGAGCAGGGCAATTCCAGATAGGCACTTTTGCCGTGGTGGAAAGGCCTCCTCATCACGACGAAGTGTTTGTGGTGGGGCATGGACCCGGCCAAGGAGAGATTCTTACCCGCACCACCTCCGAGGATGGAGGAGAATGGATCTGGGCTGTGGTGCTTCCAGTAGCAGGCCACATGAGTGCTTCCGTCATGGTGGGAGCTGCAAGCCGACGTCCTCCGCATGGAGTTGGGGCGGATGCAGTGAACTGGGTCTGCACTCCTCCAAATGCAGGGGCAAAGTGGTTTCCAACAGCAGCAGAGTCACAACAGGTTATCAGGGATGGCACAGTCCTTTTGCAACAGCTGCAGATAGCGGGCGCAGGAAGTTATCCGGTGAATGCAGCTGGCACAGCCGGTCGGCTGGAGCCGGTGGCGATGCCGGTGGCCCCAGCAAATGTCGGGGCGCCAGGCGCGGGGGCGGCAGGTGGCGCGGCCGGGGTGGCCGGGCTGGGGCTTCAGGGGCAAGGCGCCGCTGGTGGAGACGCCACAAGCCAGCTGGACCTACGCAGCTTGGAGGCGGCAGTGAAGCAGTTACAGGCCCTGTCTTTGGCGGAATCCAGGAAGGACAAGAAGGATCGCAAGAAAGGCAAGAAATCCAAGAAGAAGAAGAAAAGCCACAAGAAGGACAAGAAGAAGAAGAAGCGACGCGGGTCCAGCAGCAGTTCTTCCAGCAGCCGGTCGCGGAGTCGCAGTTCAAGCAGCTCAAGCAGCAGCAGCGACAGTTCCAGCGGAAAGCCTTTGCGGTGGAAAGACAAGGGGAAGAGCAGGCGTGTGAGCTACGACGACTTGTCCCACGTCGACGGCTTGAAGTGGAAGAAGAAAGGGGATCTGGTGGCATTTGCTTCGAAGCATCCAGGTGCGCTGACGGCCCACTTCCTGGCAGGGGTGTACGCCAGGCTGTCAAAGGGCACGTTGAGCAAGTCAAGCCAGCTCAGGGAGGCCTCGGTGGCGGCTTGGGCACACCAGTTCACAGGGCTCACGGAGATCCGAGACTTGAAGGAGGTGCTCACGTTGGCGGAGATCTTGGACTCTGTGAATCGCCGGGAGATCGAGAGGGCCATGGACATCTTGTGCCAAAGGATTCTTGCTATCCAGGTAGCGAAGATGAAAGGGGGCAGCTGGGAGAAAGCGGAGGCCATCGAGCTGGTCAACACCCAGAAGAGCCTGGCCAGCACGTCCATGCTGGCCCTGACCAACTCCTGAACAAACTACTTCGACGGGCTCTAGGCCCGTCTCGCAGCGATGATGTGGGTGCCCATTGTGGGTTTGGCGTTTTCTACTCTGAGGCCGTAGCTGGTTTGGCGAAGGCTTTGGGCAGAGGGTACAGGTCATGCTCCTTGGGTGTTCATGTACGTCGCCTGCGACAAGTTCTTCATGAATTCAAGCGAGACCGGGGGATAAGCGTGAGGCACTCTCCTGGGCATGTTTTTCCTTTGCCACCCTTTAGTTTGGGCGGTGCAGTGGTGACTGATGGTTCTGCTCATTCTCCGGAGGTTTGTACAGGTCTGGTTGAAGGAGCCAATCTCGTCATTGCGGTCCTTAATGATTTGCATCGGGGGCAAGATGGTGGCGGTGCTCAGCCTCTGCTGTCTGCAGCCCATCGGCGGGTACATGCTCGGATAGCGTGTGCCTTGGAGGCAATGGTGTTGACTGATGAGCCTCTTTTGTCGAGCGAAGGGCTAGACAACTATTTGAAGCAGTCTGAACATTACTCTGGTAGCGGGGTGGTGTTAGCTCTGGGTGTGAAAGGGGGTGTTCCCACCAAAGCTGCTGATGTCCCTCTTGAGCAGCATCTGCAGAGCACTTTCCCAGAGATGGCGGAGCAGGTAATTCGTCCGAATGCCCTGCTGCTGTCATCCAGGCGGAGGCCACGCCAGGTGAAGAGAGGGTATACTTGGCTGGCTCGTTCATACCCCGAGTTAGTGAAACGCAATGTGAAGGCGGGCCTGCACTGCCTCAAGAAGCCTGGTCAAGTGGCCAAGCACCGAGGCGCGATGTGTCTGGCAGGTGCTTTCGCTGTTAAGAAAGACGAGTGTGAGGACAGAGTGATCACAGATCCAAGTGTTAACCAGCTTCTAGATCCCGAGAAACTTCCTCGGCCCCGATTTGCGTTCATCCCGAAGATGCGGTGCCAGACAGTTCCGTGCAGTGGGGTGGTTGCGGTATCCAAGCGTGACGCCCGTCACTACTTCCACCGCCTGCGAATTGGCAGGCGCTGGCGACGCTGGCTGCGCGGTCCTCCAGTGCTTGCTGGACGTGGCGCAGGCCCGGCTCAGCGGCGCTATCCGGCATCATGCTCAGCGCCCATGGGGTTTGGACCATCGGCAGGCTGGGCGCAAGGCTTGACGGACACTGTGACCATGAGGGCAGGGCTGGCGCCTGAGCACAGGCTTCACCCTGACCTTGTGGTTCCAGAGAGTCTGCCTTTGTGGGGGTCAATTGTGGATGACGTTTGGGCCATTGAGCATGCCCCAAACCAGCTTGAGGCTGGCGTCGGTGCTGCCTGGATGGACGCCACCGAGTCCTCTTGGGTGCGGCACGGCGTGGAACCCAATGCTAAGAAATCAGTGGACTCAGCTTTGGGTGAGGAGGTGCAGGGCTACTACGTTGATCCGTATGGCCACTGGGTTGGGGTTAGCCTGGAAAAGCGCAGACACCTCTTCCAAGCCACGATCCATGTACTGCGTGCTCGTAGAGTTCCTGTTGGAGTCATTGACCGACTGGTAGGCAAACATGGGTTTGTGCATTCGGCTCGGCCATGCCTCAGGTCCATCTTCGAGCACACCTATGGCTGGCTGACTTCTGTGCGGGGGCGAAGGCGCGATCTCGTGTCAATCCCTAATGTGGTCTGGGTGGAACTGGCTATGTCTTGTCTTCTTCTACCCTTTTGCTCTTTCAACTTGTCAGCTCCGTGGAGTACAAGAATTGAATGCACAGATTCTTCTATGACAGGGCTTGGACGGGCATGGGGGATAGCGCCTAAACATGTGGTACAGTTGCTGGCGAGATACAGTGATCATGGGCAAGTATACACCAACCTCAAGTTGCCGTGGAGCATTGGTTTAACAACAGAACACAAGTGTCCACTCAGACGAGTTCGCATACCTATTGAGCGTATCAAGTGGCACACGGCCGGGGCACCATGGAACCCGGCCCACATCACTTTGGGTGAGGCCGATGCAGTGACCTGGGCGGCAGAGGACCGTCTTCGAAGGCCAGTTGACGAGGGATGCCGCTTTGTGCACCCGCTTGATTCGGCTGCGTGCGCAGGGTGTCTAAGCAAGGGTCGTTCCAGTTCCTTTCAGCTGAACAGTCGTTGTCGTAGAGTCTGCGCCATCAACATTGCTGGAGGACATGAGGTATTTTATCCCTGGATGCCCTCCAAAGAAAACCCTGCAGATGAACCCTCAAGACGTTGGGAGCCAGATGCAAACAAGTCTGGTGGTCAGGAGTGGTTTTCGCTGGAGCCCAGGCCTTTGAGTGAGGTGGATGTGTCACAGATCCAGCTCTGGCCACGGGATGTTTACTTCTTCCTTCACTTGTGTTCAGGGCCTAGAAGGGACGGTGACCTGTGTGATTGTGTTGAAAAACTTGGCGCACTCCATGAAATCAATATAGTCGCTCTTCGCATTGATCCGTTGGCGGCAGTTGGCCATGAGGGGATCTGGGTCCAAAAGACCGCATATGGAGATTTGCTACAGGCGCAACACGGACTTTTTCTTCTGGGCCTCATCCAAAGTGGAAAAGTGTTGGGCGGTTTTGCCTCGCCTCCTTGCAGCACGGTTTCGCGAGCCCGTCATGCCAAGTTGATGCCACACATATGGGGCCCACGACCGTTGAGGTCTCGCGATGCAGTCTGGGAGCCACTAGCGCATTGCACTGTGAGAGAGCAGCGCGCAGTGTATGTGGGATCCGTGCTTTTCCTCCTTAGCGTAGGCTTGTTGGGCGAAATTGCTTGTCAGGGAGGTTGGAGTGGGCTCGAACATCCTGCCGATCCCGGGCCTCCCTATCCATCGTTCTTTTGCTCAGAGGAGGTTGCCCGTTTCTGCAAGACCTTCAAGATGCAGTATCGCGAGGTACACCAATGCAGATATGGAGCAAGCACGAAAAAGCCCACTGGTCTTTTACTCCCAAAACAGTGCGCTACAATCCATCAAAAGTGCAATCACAGCCACAAACATGCAGCATTGGTTGGGTTGAATCCTCAAGGACGTTTTCGCACAGGTCCCGCTGCCAAATATCCTGGTCAGTTTTGTGAAGCGCTGGCTACAAACTTTGTGGAGCGGGTTGCGGCGGTGCATCGAAAAGGCTACGTGAGACCATTCAAGCCTTGCCCCGTTGATCGGACTTGCGAGGCACGTGATCCATGGGTCAACCTGCATCATGTTCAGTGGGACTGGCCCCAACCGCGTGCAGCGTTTCTTGCTGAAAACCTTGAAGCCCTCCACGCGCGAGAAGTACCTGGAGGCCCTCGAGCACCTCAGCAATGATCTAAGATCTGCGGGTCTTCGATGGCACAGCATGACTGAGGCTGAGCAGGATGGTTTTCTAGCTGAGTGGCTTTTGGATGGGTATGAAGCTGCAAAGGGGCGTGCTGAATACGGATGGGCACTTTCGGCAGTGCAAAAAGTTAACCCTAGAGGTTCGTACCGTACTGCTTGGAAGCTTTTTGATGCGTGGGGCGTTGAGCAGCCGCCGAAACAGGCAGCAGCAGCTCCCCCGGAGCTTATCACGTCCATCATTGTGGCAGCTCTTCTGCTAAACCGTCCTCAAAACAGTACTGTCATGCTCCTTTGCTACGCAGGGCTTCTGAGGGTGCGTGAGAGCTTGCAGCTCCTGCACGGCGACGTGGTAGTCAGCTGGGATAGTGTGACTTTGTGCCTTGGGCGGACCAAACGAGGCATGGAGCAGAAAGTCGTTCTGCGTAATCCAGGGGTGGTCTCCTGGCTTCACCAATTTCTCAGGCGCTTTCCCGCAGTTGATCCCAGTCAGCCAGTTTTCACTGTGTCGTATTCCTCCGTGCTTCGATGGGTTAAGAAGCTCTCTGGTCTTATTGGTGGGCCTGATGTGCTTCTGACCACTCACAGTTTCAGGCGCTCAGGCGCATCTGAGCTAGCTCGCCAGGGCATCCCCTTGGCCGACATTTTGTTGTTTGGGAGATGGCTCAGGGAGCGTTCAGCGCGTGAGTATATTCGCAGAGGTGAGGTAGCCGTTCTTCGTGCCAAAAACAGCTTTGATGTCAGGCAGCAAGCGCGCTTGCAGCGCTGGAGTGCAATAGGCCATCAGGCTTGGGCCTTCCATGATGCCCTCTATCTTCACTCGGATGCACTACCGCGAATTTCTCGCTTGAATCAGGCAAGATTTGACCTCTTTGAGCAGCATGTGATGAATTTACGGGGTTGACTTCGCAGTGGATTGGATAGTTGGGAGAGGCTTGAGAACTCAAGCTGAGCGCGCACTCGCATTGAGCAGCGCTGGCATTTCAGTTTCTGCTCGGCTGCTTTTTGGACATCATGCTCTAGGCATTGATCGACGAGACTCCCGTCAAAAGAGGCTGGTGTGTGAGCCTTTGGCTCCTGGAAAGGGCTTAACGTTCTGTTGGCATGCAGCTTGAAAGAATGAGCTGTGTTTCAACTAGTAGTTTCTTTCATGTGACAACACGTTACTTGACTCTGTCATTCATTGCTCCCAGTGCTGCGCACCCCGCCCACCCTAGTGGATACAGGGAGAGGCTTGAGAACTCAAGCTGAGCGCGCACTCGCATTGAGCAGCGCTGGCATTTCAGTTTCTGCTCGGCTGCTTTTTGGACATCATGCTCTAGGCATTGATCGACGAGACTCCCGTCAAAAGAGGCTGGTGTGTGAGCCTTTGGCTCCTGGAAAGGGCTTAACGTTCTGTTGGCATGCAGCTTGAAAGAAGTAGCATTTTGGAGCGCGCGTTTCGTGGGGGATGTTGGCTGGGACGAGGCTGCGAAGTCAGAACCTGAAGTCTTTAAGTCCAGGCGAGAGCTGTATCCAACCTTCAACCCCAAGCCCCAAACCCCAAGCAACAAGCCCCAAGCCCCAAAGCCCCAAACCCCAAGCCCCACACCCCAAACCCCAACAACCAGCATCACATTGCGGCGCCAGCCATGCAAGAGAAAACTCCTTGCAGGAGCAGCTTGATGCAGAACGTGCTGACTAAGCCTTAGTAAGGCCTGTATGATCGTCCAGTGAGCAGTCTTGCAGCTTGACCCCAAAACATCTGCAAATCACCAAGCCATCCTCACCATCAAGCTATGATCAAAAGCAAGTAAGTGCATTCTGAGCAAGCAGCAAGCATGAAAGCCCCGTACGTAATGCTAGTACAACACTCCCTGCAACCTAGTAACACCAACCACTGGAGCTTCCATCGCCAGTAAGCGCGTCAACGCAACACTACTCCGAACCCTTTCCTGACAAAAGAAGCTATCACCTGGAACATCAGGACATCTAACATGTCGACCTTTGCGGCCTGGCGGATGACGTTGGACCTCAGATTGCACCATTCTTGCGCAGCTTTATACTTTGGCTGTACCTGCACGCGCGCAGAGTCCCAATGGTTACGAGGCCGTTTTGGCCTTCATCGCCGCATCTTGCCCCCAGTAGTTCTATATTGGGCTCCCACATCACTTTCAGGGAGCCTGAGTCGCCTGAGGTAGCAGAGAGGATGACTTGCATGCTAGGCTTGAAGGGTTTACCCTGTAACCCTAAACCCTAAACCCTAAACCTTAAACCCTAAACCCTAAACCCTAACCCCTACGATGGCTGAGACTGAAGCACCTCGAGTCGATGCACATCTTGGCGCCCAGCGTAGGCAGGAAGAAGTGATTGCGTTTGTGCTGGTGCCAGGCAATATGGGTACTGATGCTGCAGGGAGGGTTTCGGGTTCAGGGTTTAGGGTTTAGGGTTGAGGGTTGAGGGTTTAGGGTTTAGGGTTTAGGGTTTTAGACCCCTAATTTCGGAAATCCCCATATAGCTACCGCGACCTGCGCGCGAACCTCCAAGTCATGCAGGCTTCGCTCCCAGGAGCTTGCACGAGTTCTTGCTTGCTCTTCTTGGTTCTTGGGCTTAGGGTTAGGGTGTAGGGTTCAGGGTTCAGGGTTCAGGGTTTAGGGTTTAGGGTTTAGGGTTCAGGTGTCAAAGCTCGACATGAGATTTGGGGGGGACCCACGGTCGTTAACGGGGGACACACTGTGGCGGGGGAGGGGGGGGGGGTCAACTTAGGTCTGTTATGTCGTGGAGGGTTTGAGGGCCCAGATGGGCATTTCGCGAAGCAGGGCTGGCACCGTTGGCTTCGCAGTTGCCTGCGGGGATTTGGAGGAAGGCTCGTCATGAGACCGGAAGGCTGTCGGTGACCCCCCCTTTTCCCCCCCCCCCCCCCCCCCAAAAAAAGCAAAGGAAGAGACGCGGCCAAAAGGCGGAGAAATCTCCGGCGAGGGCAACCTCGGGTGTGTTCGTGAAACCCTAAACATCAAACCACTATAGGGGTCGGAATACTGACGAATAGTATTCCCTGATGGCCCCTATATAGTCATACGATAATCCCCCCAAACCCAGTTCTAACTATTAAGGCCCCTATATTAAGCCTTTAGCCCTAAACCCTAAACCCTAAACCCTAAACCCTAAACCCTAAACGCTAAACCCTAAACCCTAAACCTAAACCCTAAACCCTAAACCCTAAACCCTAAACCCTAAACCTGAACCCTGAACCCTGAACCCTGAACCCTAAAACGACACATCGCTGCCCAGATCAGACCGCGGCGCGGAGCTCTCTCTGTCCGCAGGCTTCGGCCAACTCGGGAGCCAGGAGGCCGCGGGCACTTCGCTTCATCAACCCTGAGGGCCCTTTAGGGGTTAGGGTTTAGGGTTTAGGGTTTGCTGTTTAGGGTTTTGGGTTTAGGGTGTAGGGTTTCGGGCTAAGCCCTTTGTGGAGGGCTGCTTCTGGATGCACTCGGTCACTTCTCGAGAGTTGGGCTGTGGCCGGGCTTCTCTGCCGGCAGTCTGAAATGCTCCTTGCTTGGAGGTTCATGGTACTTGTTCACCCATTATAACTGTACTTATCACCCAAATTATAAGTGCATCAGGGCACTCAAGGGGCTTATAAGTGGTTATACGTACAGTTATAATTTGTTAATAAGTACCCTAAACCTCCAGTCCTTAGTAGGGATTATGGTACCGCGCAGTTTCATCCGTACTGAGGACTGGCAGTATAAAGGGGGAACATCCCAACATCGTACCCTTAGTCCAGATTTAACCTCCTGCTGATGGTTTCGTGGCAGGTTGAAGCGGCATTGTCGCAAGATGAAGCCGGATTCGTGAAGAAAGCTTGTGCCGCTGAAAACCGTTGGTGTCGGTGGATCCGCCTGCCGCCTTTTCTTCACAACAGACACAGGTCCCTTCTGCGACATGTTTTGTAGGCGAGGGGCAGAGAGGCACTTTGATTGACCTCGGGAAGGTGCTGTCTTTGAGCCATTTTGGCTCAGGTCAGAATGGCGCATGTCATACTGGAGCGCTTGCAGAATCACTTTGGTGAGGGTCCCGTTTCACCTCAGGATGTCCGAGACCTGCTGCGAAAGCTCAAGGTTGAGGAGTCACTCATCGACTGCGCGCTGCAGGCCTTCGAGGCCGATGAACACCTCACGTGGAAGGGCCTTGTGTCTTGGATCTTTGACTGCTCTGAGGCAAGGCCAGTCAATCATCATGGCATCTCCCCAAAAGACCTCCCTGACGCAGCCGAGCCGGCAAAGGCGAGGGCCCGGAAGATAAGGGAAGCACTCGAGATGACGGCGGAACGCTTTGCAGACTACATGCATCTCTTGGCCAAGTTCCCCCGGCGCTGCGAGATTGCCAGAACGGAGCTCAGGGGGATCACGCTTAAGCAGCTCAGGGTCGTCGAAGACTTCATAGTGCAGCACGCTGGCGAGTGGTGGCTTGACGTGCGATCCAAGCGACCTGTTGATCCAGCCACGGCCAACCTTTACCACGTAAGCACCTGGCTCATCATGCCAGCCACGAGTACAGCAGACTGTGCTTGGGTGGAGTTGGCAGCCGGGGGTGAACAGCGGCCACAGTGGTTCTGCAGCCATTGGTGGGGCGAACCCGTGCGAGACTTCATCGGATGCGTCGCAAAGCACAAGGAAGTGCGTTGCTTCAAGACCAACCCAGGGTCCCCAAAAAATCCTGAGGATCCTGTTTGGGCGCACCTTGGATAGTTGGGTAGCATTTTACATGCTTAAGGATACTTAAACCCAATAAGGAATATAAGCTTAAATTTCAATACGATCCCAACCATGAACCAGGTACTGGGTTTGCGCCTACGCTAACCGGCAGCACTCGCTGGACGAGGAGCTCTCCTCAGATCCGAAGTCGTCAAGCTTCTTCAAAGCACTGCAACTGGTGGAGGGCATGCTCATCATTTTGGACACCAATGCCACGCCTTTTACTCGCCTGTGGTGTGCCTTTGAGGCTTACACTGCTCTGAGCGAGAGGACGGATGGAAACCAGCATCTACTCCTCGACATTGCCACAAAGGTCCCAGGCACTGATTCTGCGGCTCTACTCACGGACGGTCTCACAGAGGCCGAGAAGCAGCTCGAGAGCGCACTCGAGGAGAAAGGCCAAGGACCTACACGTGGGCCCCCGCCACAGGGCATGGGCCCAATGGGTGCGAGTCTGGCGAAGCGACTGCAGCTCTACAGACAGCGAGCTTTCACGCTCGAGGTCTTAAGTAGGGGCCTTCGGCCTCAGTTGCATGAGGCCCTTGCCTCTAAAGCGGAGGACCGCAGGCGGATCCTGAACTGCATTGCCCAGAAGGACCTGGATGCAGAGCCTGCCGGTCAGCACGTCAACTACGATGCCGTCAACACGTCTTTGGGGGGCATCTTCGCAAGAGCTGGCTTGGAGCAGGCCTTGCTCAAGGGGCAGGTCCAAGAGCTGTCTTTCCACGAGGCTCTTCGGGCGGACACGAGCTGTTCGGAGCTCAAGCTCGACCTGACGCACATGTCGCCCAGCGACGCGCGCCTCGCGGACCTGGGACTGTGCATACCTCGTTCCCTGCAACGCCTGCAGATGGACCTGGGAGGCTGCGAGGAGTGGACCGCGCAAGGCCTGGCGGCCTTGGCTGCTGGGCTTCCCGGTTCCATGCACCATCTTGACCTTGGTTTTGGGAGGTGCGCGAACATCGCAGATGAGGAAACTAAGGGATACCTTAGAAATATTTTCTCATTTTTTGGGTGCTTTATAATTCCTAAGGAGCAGCAAACCTTTTTGCTAGGGTTTCAAGTTCAGCATAGGAAATGGCCGTCCTGGGGTCAAGCTGGCCTTCCGAGCTCCAGAGCTTGCAGCTGAACTTCCTATACTGCCACAACATCGGCGATGGCGGGCTGGCTGCCTTAGGATTTCCCCACTCGCTGCGACGGCTGAAGCTGGACTTCACTGGCTGTAGTGGACTTGGGGATTGCGGGGTGGCCAGTTTGGCAGCCGGCCTTCCCCGCACGCTCCAGTGGCTGGATCTGGAGTTCAGATACTGCAGTCTTGGTGATGGAGGTCTGGCCGCCCTCGCAGCTGGCCTCCCGCAGCTGGAGCACTTTCAGCTCTCGGTGCGGAACTGCTTGAGCTTGGGTGATGCTGGCTTAGTCGCCCTGTCAGCGGCCTTGCCAGCGCCTCTGCTGTTCTTGCAGCTGAGCTTCGCCAACCTTTCGGGCAACCTTTCGGACGGCGCGCTGGCGGCCTTGGCAGCAAGACTGCCGCGGAGCGTGCAAGAGCTGTGCCTACACTTCAACGGCGCCAGTCGCGTCGGCGCTGCCGGGCTGGCCGCTTTGGCTGCTGGCCTTCCGAAGCTGATGCAGCTACGACGCCTGCAGTTGGACTTTGGCTTTTGCCTGCAGCTTGCGGATGATGGGCTGGCTGCTCTTGGCGCGGCACTTCCCACGCAGATGGAGGAGTTGAAGCTCGACTTTACTTTCACCAAATTCAGCGATGCCGGGCTTGCAGCGCTGGGTGCTGGACTGCCGCTTGCGCTGCAGCGCCTGAGCATGAACATGGAGTTCTGCCGAGACATGTCTATGGAGCAGAACCACGAGATGTTCAAGGATCCCTCCCTATTCCGTTCTTGGGCCAGCAAGTGGCGTGAGGCCCACCTTGCTGCCCTTGCTCTTCCCCCCATTCCCCCCACCCTCAGCAGTGAGGAGTGGCCGGTGGCAGCTGAGCCAGCCGAGGCTGCCGAGCCCAGGCTGGAACGTGTCAGGGCAGCCGGTGCTGGGGAAGGAGGAGCGACTCTCGGAGACCACAATGGAGAAGGGACTGAGGAGCCGGACGGGAGCTTGCAGCTGGTGGAGCCCAATGTGCCACTGATAGCTGTGCCTTGCCTCTGCCTTGCGCTTCGTTGTTGTCACGCGCTGCGCGTGTTGAAGCTCGGCTGGAAGTCTGAAGCGATCGAGGACGCGCACCTTGACATGCTGAGTCCGGCAATGCCCAGTACATTGCAGGTCTTGGAGCTGAAGTTTAAGGCGTGTGGATGCGTTGGTGACGATGGATTGGCTGCCTTAGGCGCAAGGTTCCCAGGTGAACTCCAGGTTTTGCAGCTCCACTTCACACAATGCAAGAGTGTTGGTGATGTTGGGGTGCGGAGGCTTGTGGCGGGACTTCCGTGCAGGTTGAGGCATCTAGAGATCCATCTCGACTCTTGCTCGAGCCTCACGGATGCTGGGATCGCCGCTCTTGCAGCAGGGCTGTCAGATGTGGCCATGCTGCAAGAGCTTTTGCTGTCCTTCAGCTTCTCAGAGAAGATCGGTGATCAAGGGCTGGCTGCTCTGGCGGCGGCGCTGTCCCCATCCTTGCTGCGCCTGGAGCTTGAGTTGCAGAAGTGTGCCATCGGCGACACGGGGCTGTCAACCTTGGCGGCCAAGTTGCCTGGCGGGCTGCAGCAGCTGCGGCTCAACTGCTTCCCGTTGCCCAAGCTCGGTGATGCCGGGGTACAGGCCCTTGCAGATGGACTCCCACCATGCCTCCGGCGCCTCAGCCTCGACCTCTCAGAGTGCCCGCAAGTGGGCGATGCTGGGCTCATTGCTTTGGGCGCCAAACTTCCTGCGAGACTGGAGGCCCTGGATCTGCGGCTTTTCAACAACACAAGGATGGGGGATGATGGGTTCGCCGGGCTGGCAGCAGGATTGCCGCGGCTGGCGATGCTGCAGGGCTTAAGGCTCGTCCTCAGATTCTGCGCAAACTTGTGTGACGCCGGCCTGGCTGCACTAGGGGCAGGCTTGCCGAGCCGATTGCGGTACTTGGATTTGGACTGCACATGTTGTGAGAGGCTCGGCAATGCTGGCCTGGCTGGCTTGGCCGCCGGAATGCCAGAAGGGCTGCAGCATCTGCAG